GTAACCATATATTATTTTTCTTTGTAGCCCTAATATCCAACACATTAAAAAAACACATAATAGGTTGGAAGCTCCTTGAGGGCAAGAAAATGTTTTTGTGTTCACTGTTGCACCCTAGTATCTGGATATTACATCATTTAGTATAAATAATAAATATTTCTTCAGTAAATAAATGGATATAAAGTTTGTTGCATGAATGAATGAAATATGGATACTAATTTCTGCCCTAATAGTCACAGGGATATTGAGAGGGTCATACAAAAACATATATGTGACTGGATTTTATAAATTGAACAAATTTAAGGTGTTCCTATTGTTATAGTTCAAGCAGAACATGCTGGTTTCATTATCTTTGCTTTTAATTGCATTTATAAATACAACTATAGCATTTTGAATCATTCCATCTGCTTTCATCTGCTTAGACAGAAACTAATTAAAGGCTGTTTAGCTCTAAATAGCTTTCTATACTTTGAGCTAGAAATGGATTTTCCCCATTTGATATCTAATTAATTAAAAAAAAATCTAGGACTAAAGACTAGACATATGTACCATTAGGTTGACTACCACAATATTTTATCAAGGTTGATTATAAAAATATTTTATTATTTTCAAGAAATACGGCTCTTTGAAGGCTCTGGGTTTTTCTGAACCTGTTATGAGGGGTTAAATGCTGTCACAAAGAGCATTCAATTTGATGTATAGGGCGTATTATCACAGGGAAGTGTACTGTCATATGGCATTATGACACTTGAACTCCAGGGAGAAATTTGGGTCGAGTGCCTGGTTAATATGTTCTCGCCATCTTCCTGAAGCTGCTTAATGCTTGCTGTGTTTTGACCCTAATTCTCCTAAAGCACATTTCTCCTCCCTCCTACCATGTTTTGAACTCCCACTGATGCATCATTAAAAGTTGGGATAGATCCTGGGAGACCATGAAACCATTTCTTTGGATTTTACATTTAATTCTATCTGAACTTCTAAAAGGTGAATGGGACAACTATTTTTAACTGCCTTTAATGAAACATATTTAATTTCTTCAATCATGTGGTCAGAACTTCTTACAATAAATGAAATACAAGCTATTATGGTTTAAATTCATTTTGTTTACTGACCTCAGAGGAAAAAAAGAAAGCTTGCCACGATACCCTGAAATGTTTATATCTGATAGCTCCATTATAACAAATTTATTTGGATTGCACAGATCCAGCTACAATGTGAGCCACATGATATCTCCAAATGGATCATAAAATTAAAAAAAATATATGGTTGTCCCAAGTGCCAAAATGGCAAGTGATAAAGCTTTTCTAACTCTTGTAAGATCTCTAGGCTACTTCTTAGAATAAATAATCTGTGCTCTTGAGGAATAGACAGAGGTCATCTGTGGGTCCCATGCTCCTTCTTAGATACTCTGAAATGACCCTTTAACTTGAGTGATATTTGGTGAATCCCAGGAAGCTGCCCTCCCAAAAGCTCCGTCCCTTAACATCTGGCTATTTCCTTTCCCTCAAAATTTGCCCTCATTGAACAAGATTTGCCCTCTATGGCTAAGTTATTGATGCTAAAATATGAGGATGGAAATTGAAATAGCCAGTGATATGATGTTGTGAGCCTGGATATTTGAAATCTGGTGGCTGAGACATCAAGTAACAAATATATTCATTTTGATTTAAATATCTAAGAATCATGTAGATACTGCTTAAGCCCACTTGATAGGAACTCTTCATTCAGAAGAGAAAGACCACTGCTAGGCAACTTCAGTCTCATAAGAATTGGCAGTCAACCATGATTTTTCACTGTGACTGTTACTCTAATTTCTGGCTGATTCCTTAGAGACAGTGTTGTCTGAAATAAAACATTTGGTCAATTAAGTGCCGCAGTCACTATTCCTCTTCTCTTCTCCTTCTTCTTCCTCTCTACAGTCCACCTAGACCATTTATGAAGGACTGGTTTTTGTGTCTTCTGTTCGTTTAAAACAGGGATTTTTTTGTGTGTGTGTGTGTTTGTTTGTTTTAAGTGGGCTCCACGCTAGGCTTGAACTCATGACCCTGAGATCAAGACCTGAGATCAAGAGTGAGATGCTTAACTGACTGAGCTACTTAGGATCCCTCTAAAATAGGGTTTAAAATGGAATAAAAACCAGTTTCCAAAAAATCTATAACTCTGACAAAGCTGTGGGAGCTTTTTAAGGATTTAGAAATAGGTAGTTAGCAATAGGTTACATATCACATTGTTTAGACCAGATTGCCCATCTGGGCAAAGTTTCTAATTTTCCAACTTGAAAATTGTACTACATATATGTGGGAATTCTTGCTTAGAGGCTGATATTCATTTGAAGTTGACAAAAGAATATATATCTATTTAACAAATACAACCCACTTTATTTTTAAATAGTGCCATCTCTAACAACTTTGGTATTGCCTTTGTGGATATGATAGAACAAATGAAGTATTTTATTAGTATTAATATTTATAGAAAACATGGGGGAATGAAGAAATAATTTGAATGGCCCAGCCAATGAATTATCAAATCATATATACAGATTTTGAGTAAGGAAACACAGAAAATGAGGTAACCCCAAAATATAGGTGGTTGCCATTACTTCTGGTCCAAGTCTCGGCAGTGACACAGTGAATAAAGTCAATACTATTAGACCAAGTATTCTGGGGTGGATAGAGAAGTGCAGAGCAAGCGGAGGATGCAGGATTAGAGACCACCACATAGCTGCTGAAGAAGAGATTCTGTGGTTGGGATTTGTTTTACTCTCTCCCCACTTTCATCCCCTAGGGTCATTCTAGATCTCAATTCTCTTTCCTTGTTTATACCACTGCTATACTTGATCCTGGTGTGTTCCTATTGCTTACTAGGCAAACACAAGTGCTTAGGCAGTCTCTGTCACTGAGACCTCACTAGTATTTGATGGTAGGAATAAATGCCTTGAGTTGTTTAAACTTTAACATATGCTCATTGGTTACCATATAGGTATAAGAAATGCGGTGATTGTGACCCAAGCCCCTGATTTTCTATTTCTATATTCCTCTTTCCTTGGGTCTATCCCCTAGTCTTTGACTTCTTTTTGTACTTCTTTTCCTCTTCTTCCACACCTTTCCTTCTTTAATTGTCTTCTGTACTTTTATTGGTTCTTCTTTCATTGATCCTTCTCAATTTCCATTTTTAACTTTTTTTCCCTGCTCAATACTTTTACTACTATCCCTGGACAAACCCAACTCCCAAATAATAATATAACTAAGGGGAGCACTGAGCACACACAACAGCAATACTGGAACATTTACAATACCTACCAACTGTGTCATTAGCTCAAGACAGAAAATAAGCTGAAAGAATGGAGTGACTCTAACTTCCATTGTTTTATCATCTTGTGTATAAGTTCTGCTGTGCTTAAGGAGCATAATTCAGGTAATAAAACCTTTGGCAGGGTGTTGTTTCATAGAGGCAACAATATCCTGTAGAAAATGAAACCAGGCAGGAAGTCAGGAGATGATGGATCCTGTTCTTCCAAACACTGGGTAACCTCCGGTAAATAAGTCCTGCACTGTGGACCCTGCCTCGGTTTGCTATTTTGTAAACCCTAATATCTGATAGACCTGTGTGAAGGATTAATTAGATAATATACATAAAAATACTTTGTTCTTTAGAAGGGGAGAACTGTGATGGAATAATCCAGTATTTATCATCTGTTCATCAGATAACATGATTTGGTGATTCTATCACACAAAGAACAAACGTTTTTATTATCAAATTTGGGTTAACTCACTCCTAGGCTGCAGAGCTGTTGGAACCACCATTCCTGGGACCTAATCAATAATTGTCCTTTCCTAAATAGTCTTTTGGCTTACGAGACTTTCTGAAACTTCTTATAGTAGTTGATTTGCTCTTCTCCAAAGCCCTGAGCAGCCACAAGAAAGCATTCTTAAGTCTTCTCCTAAAATTCTACAATTTGAAGAGCAGAAGAGAATCAGAAGTGCATGTGTGCATGCGTGCATGTGCGCGTGTGCACGTGTGGGTGCTTCCAACAACAGAGAGGTCCCTAAAGAGAGAGTCAAACATTGAGAAAGGGATATATGCTCTTAGTCTCCTTTCATAGACCTTGTTCCTCAATTAGTCACTGAAACAAGATGACTTCTCCATATTGGGCCTGAGGGGCAGTTGTGAGTGTGTGAAAACCTTTTAAACATCCAATTTCATGGTGTACATGCTAGAAAAATGATTTTTTTCTCTTCTTTCTGAATCATTCAGTTTGAACCTACTCAGAAAAACTGCTGATTCATTGGACTATGAAATACAGACTCTTCTTAAGAGGCATTTCCTGTAGTAGCCCATTTCCACTTATGTAACGCTCTTCTGCTAGTCAATTCATAGCTCTTTAAAAAGTTCCCTTAAAATCCTCAAGTTCACTTGTAACTCTGAGGGGAACTCTACACAGACCTTCAAAAATCAAAATCTTTTATGACTGAACACATTTCCAGATTCATTTAATAATGCCACTCTCAGAAAACTTCACCTTTTTGACCCTTCCCTCCCCTTTGCTGCGGTAAAAGAATATAAAAAAGTCTTTAATAAACAACTTTAAGCATTCCTTCACTGAAAAAGTCTGTAGCAAAAACCAAACATAAAATGAATAAAAAGGTAATAAACTCAGTATTTTAGGTCCATTTCTCAATTTTTTTCTAAACACATTATGACCAAGTAGCCTCTACTTCACTTTCATGCATATATACATATATATATATATATATATATATATATTTACACACACACACATATATATATACTTAAATGTATATATTTTAACAACATGGAATGGTAACATCAAATGCTTAGGTTCCGTGCAAACACATAACCCTTCCTGTGAAGGAAACATATTAATATTATAAAAACAAATCATGGAGAGTAACATGCAACAGCTGAGGGGAGGAGAATGGGGTTGGGGCAGGGGACCCAGAGAAACACAAAGAATGTAAAGAACAAAAAGTGTCATTGACCTGATTTGTCAGAGCTGTTGCCTGTGATTGGAGTGATGGAGCAGCTGGGATTAGCCTTTGCGCTGTCCTTGGAAGAAACCATTTTGGGTTTATTTTTCGTTGCCTCTAGTGCTTTGACCTTCTTGGCATGTTTACTTCCTTTGTAGTGGGCCTCGGCCTGGCTCTACAAAGGAGAACAAATCAGGCTCATTTTTTTGCTATTTACAAACACCACAATGGATGATCATGCAGGAAAATATACATTCAATCATAGGCACCACGGACATTTACTACTCAACACTCAACTATGTTTCTGGCATTTAATGAAGTGGTAGACCAGTTCCTAAGGGGGTTTTGCGATTGAAACCTTCTCTACAGCACAGAGGACCTGTATCTTTAAAAACCAGACATTATTATGAGTGGACAACAGGGCCAGGGCACAACTGTGATGCCTTGTGCCCTCCCGCCACTGCCCGTTGGGGATACTTTCAAACATTGAGCTGGCAACAAGCTGCTGTGAGTGTCCTTCCACAGACATTCCATTTTGTTTCCCTTCAGCTAAAAACCTGCTTGCCCTGCATCTACTTTTGTCTAGGCTCTGCTCTCTCCGAGAGCAACTGATGTAACACAGCAACCTGCTGGTGAGTGGAAATGGAGCTACATTTTAGAGTCGTCTACATGTGCTTCATGCAGCATTTTGAAGATCCCAGTTCCAAGAATGGATAATTTAAGCCACAAAGGAAGGACAATCCTTGTTTCTAATCTCAGAAGTGATTCTGAAGTCAAAGCAGTTAGTGTTACATTCACTTATACGCAAAGCACAGGTGGAACTGTGACTTGGATACTAGCTCAAAAGGAAGAAAAGGGATCAAGACAAGTGCCTACTAAAAATCTTTAAAAGACAAAAACAAATTACAGAAAACAAGAAAACATTTAATTAATTTATTGGCATTTGGAAATTTTCTCTCTGCCTAAAGAATAAGGATTTTATATTTTGGGCATCTAGCACGGATACACATATTAACAAAAGAATCTAAGTATATTTGCTTCAATTTCATTTTGAGTAGACCCTGAAAATAAAAACATGCATTTGGCAAAAAAAAAAAAAACAAATTGAGACATATATGGCGTATTAGCTTAGTTATAAAGATGAAATGGATGATAAACTTATCATAAAATGAGTTCTCATTACAAAATTTCTAAAATAATAACTTTTTTTAATGTCAGTTTTCCTTATACACCTGTATGCACTTGAAGATGATTATACTAATGTTTTCATTCATTTTCCTCAGCAAGCAGAATACAGGTGGTGTGTGTGTGTGTGTGTGTCTGTATGTGAGCACATGTGTAAGTAGGTGGGTAGAAGTGACAACGGACAAAACGAGCCAGGTTTTAATTCTATATTTCAACTAAAGGGGGATGTATGTGATTTCCTTAGCATAGAACCCTGACTACCCGAGGTCAATAGCCTTATATTGACTGCACACACTACCTAAGTTCCTGAATATCTTTTCATAAATATCATTGTAGATCATCACTGACTTGTAATTGCTCTTAGTTGGTTGGCTCAAGGACTTCTCATAGTATTCTCTGTCCGGCTGGAAAAAATAACGGTCCCAAGGGAGGAGAAAAGTGGAACATAAGTTCTTTACTTATTAGGAGCCAAGAATGCTTAAATCCAGTTAAGGTAGATGGTTGGATACAAATAAGAAAATATACAAATAAAAACTTAGAAGTTGATAACGTGAAGTGATAATAATAGTGACTAATATTATTGAATGTGCCAAGCACAGTTCTAAATGTATTACGTGTATTAGCTCATTTAGTCCTCATAATACTCTGTGAGGTAGGTACCATTATTAATCAGCATTTTACAGACGGAAAACTAGGCACAGAGAAGTTAAATAACATTGAAAGTCACACAGGTAGCTGTAGAAGCCATTTTGTCGATCTGAAATGCTTACATGGACACCCCTATTTAACTGTACGCCCACACATTTACATACACATACTCACACTAAGTTAACATTATAATTTTAATAAAAGGAAAAAATACACACAAAGAAGCCACACTGCTTTTAATGACTCAGTGAAGATTATGTCTTAACAGAAGTTTCTATGAGTAGGAAAAATCGACTGAATTCATGGGAAATATACTAGCATTGTACATTAGGCCTGCTCCTTCCTGAAGAGCTAAGGGAGTCCCATCTTTTGGGTATACAACAATTTCTACATGATACCAGGAGACCTAACAACTCATCTTTCCAAGTATACTAAATAGTGTGATTTACTTTAGTGCCCTCCGGCTAAAGAAACATATGGTTCTCTAAATAAAACCTCCTAGCACTAGATAAGCGGAGTGTCATTTCCTCATTACAATTTCCTGGCATCACTGCAGAAAGTTAACAGCATCAATTAGCACTTGAGATAAAGATCCAGCTAAGTGACACCTCACTGGATGCCAAGATGGAAAGAACTCTTCATAGCCACGATCCACTTTCCTTTTGAGTTCTGGGGCACGGAGAGAAGTGCAACAAGGGAGCTTAGCTTCTACTCGATGTTATTTGGGAAGGACTTGTGGAATAAAGATAGTGGCAGGCACCACTCACTCACATTTGGCATCTTTCCAATTCCTATGTGGTATTCTTGGTAGGAGCACTTTGCTATCCTCAGTCCTGTATCTGAGGCAGTGTCAATGGCTTCTAAATCCTGGGCAAATCTTCAAGTGAAACTGAGACACTGTTAAATAGTAACACGATTAACCTGACTTCCTTATCTAGGACTCTTCTTCGTTGAGGAGCGAAAGAAACAAGGACAAGAGCTAGAAAACCCATGAACTAGGCAGCACAAATCAAGCCCAATCGACAACGGCTCTTGTGTCACTTCCGAGAGACCTGGTTGACCAAGCTGACTTACTTTACACCTCAGCGACTGAACAGGAGACACGTATTTGTCTAGCTCTAATGGTCTGCTTTCTGCTTCTCCACCAAAAGTGCTGTTGTGCCCCTGACTGGCAATGGTCCAAGAAACCTTTCTTGCCAAGAACTGTTGGAATTCGAGAGTTGCCTAAGCCACCATATTGACCTCCACAAGAGAATTCCTCAGGATCGAGATTCTTGTCTCACAGGTCACCCCAGGAGCAACCAGACCATGTACTGGTAGAGGAAGAGCTTTGACAGGAGATGACATCCTGGAATTTTCTCTTCTGTTTATCTCCATGTTTGTTACTAAAGGCTTTTGCTTTCATAAATCCTCTCCATCTCTCAGGACCCCACTGGTCCAAACAAAAAAGATAAAGAATGGGATGATGTATTGCTTTAAAAATAAAAACATGTCTGGGCAGAAGATATGAACAGACATTTTTCCAAAGAAGACATCCAAATGGCCAACAGACACATGAAAAAGTGCTCAATATCGCCCGGCATCAGGGAAATCCAAATCAAAACCTCAATGAGATACCACCTCACACCAGTCAGAATGGCTAAAATTAACAAGTCAGGAAATGACAGATGTTGGCGGGGATGCGGAGAAAGGGGGATCCTCCTACACTGTTGGTGGGAATGCAAGCTGGTGCAGCCACTCTGGAAAACAGGATGGAGCTTCCTCAAAAAGTTGAAAATAGAGCTACCATATGATCCAGCAATTGCACTACTGGGTATTTACCCCAAAGATAGAAAAGTAGGGATCTGAAAGGGTACGTGCACCCCAATGTTTATAGCAGCAATGTCCACAATAGCCAAACTGTGGAAAGAGCCAAGATGTCCATCAACAGATGAATGGATAAAGAAGATGTGGTGTATATATATATACAATGGAATATTATGCAGCCATCAAAAGGAATGAGATCTTGCCATTTGCAATGACGTGGATGGAACTGGAGGGTATTATGCTGAGTGAAATAAGTCAAACAGAGAAAGACATGTATCATATGACCTCACTGATATGAGGAATTCTTAATCTCAGGAAACAAACTGAGGGTTGCTGGAGTGGGGGGTGGGGGGAGGGATGGGGTGACTGGGTGATAGACACTGGGGAGGGTATGTGCTCTGGTAAGCGCTGTGAATTGTGCAAGACTGCTGAATCTCAGATCTGTACCTCTGAAACAAATAATGCAATATATGTTAAGAAAAAAAAAATAATAAGAAGAAGGTAGCAGGAGGGGAAGAATGAAGGGGGGGATATCGGAGGGGTAGACGAACCATGAGAGATGATGGACTCTGAAAAACAAACTGAGGGTTCTAGAGGGGAGGGGGGTGGGAGGATGGGTTAGCCTGGTGATGGGTATTGAGGAGGGCACATTCTGCATGGAGCACTGGGTGTTATGCACAAACAATGAATCATGGAACACTACATCTAAAACTAATGATGTAATGTATGGGGATTAACATAAGAATAAAAAAATAAAAAAATAAATTAAAAAAAAGAAAATTGAGAAAAAAATAAAATAAAAATAAAAACATAACACTAAAAATTTCTAAAATTCACTGTGCTCCCATTTCTGGTTTTTACCTTATTTCTAATTTGGACTTCAGAGACATGCCTAGGATCTTGAAACACGATGTTAAACTGTGTTCACCTTGTATAGAAAGGACACTCCCAAGCACAAACTTACAAAGTGTCTGGGGAAGAGCAATGTTACTAGAGAAAGTCCTCAACCATTTATCTACCAGTGGAACTCATCTTGTTGCATTTAAAAAGTAATTAGAACTCTTCCCTTCGTTAAAGAAAGTGCATCATTCAAACTTGGTGCCTAATTTTCTGAGACCTTAGATTTCAGGATGTTAAGCAGCGTTATATGGGAAATAGCAGAGGTCAGTTAATTTTCAGAGAAGCTCTATACACTAAAATGTCAAATAAAAAAAGATATCAAATGAACCACCATAAGAACAGGCTACACCAACAAGGGGAAAACGTTCTTATTATTGCACAAAGAATTATTTAGCACCTGCCATGTGCTAGACATTGAGAAAGATTAAAACCAAAGACCCCTACTCACAAGAGTGGTTGGAAAGAAAGACGTGCATGCAAATAACTACAACTCAAAGCAGAGAGTGGAATTATAAAATGGGATGTAAAGAGCAACAAAGAAGCCTAGAAGTTATAGGAGAGGTAAATCTCTCTGGATTGGAGGTGATGATGGAAGCTTCAGGAAAAAGAGGCATCACAGCTGGGGCCTGCCCTGGG